TGGGGGCACGGGTGGGCTCCAGGAGCTCAAAGTTCCCTTCCAACCCCAGTGATGGATTGTGTGACCCCACACCAGCAGGGCAGTGCTGTTTGGGGGGCTGGGGGGATCCCCACTGACCTCTCCCCCTTGCAGGGACAGCATGATGGGCAGCTTCATCCTCTTTGGTGCCATCGACCCTGCCTACACCACCAATGGCATCACCTGGATCCCCCTCTCTGCTGAGACCTACTGGCAGGTCACCATGGACCGGTAGCCCTGGCACAGCCCCTCTCCTCTGCAACTCACCCCTAGATGGGTTTTTTTTGGGGGGGTGCAGCCCAGGAGGCTCACCCCCACCCCTCTCCTCAGTGTCACAGCCAGAGGGAAGCCCTTGGCCTGCACCCACGGCTGCCAGGCCATCGTAGACACTGGCACCTCCAGGCTGGTCGTGCCCTCCAAAGCCCTCAGTAGAATCCAGGCTGCCTTTGGTACCACCTCTGACGGGCAGGTGAGGCCCTTTTGGAGCACTCTGAGGCTCTGGAGGGGGTGCCCGGCTGCTCCCCGTTGCCCCTGGGTTCCTCCTGGGGGCGCTGCTGACCCCTTCTCTCCCCTCTGTCCCCTCCTCAACCCTCAGATCAGCTGCTCCCGCGTCCCCTTGCTGCCCAAAATCGTCTTCCACATCGGTGGGAAACCTTTCCCCGTGCCACCCACCTCCTACGTGGTGCAGGTGAGGGGCTGGGGGTGGGGAAGGGCTCTGGGGGGGTTGGCAAGTGGTCGCCACCATCCCACACCTCCTTGCAGGAGGATGGGGAATGCATCCTTGGCTTCCAAGGCATGGACATCCCCACGGAGGCTGGAGAGATCTGGATCCTGGGGGACATCTTCATCCGCAACTACTACGTCATCTTCAACAGGGCCAACAACATGGTGGGGCTCTCCAGGCTGCCCTGAGCTGGGCAGGGGGACAGGCAGCTTGGTTTGGGGTCCCCCAACTCCGTGGCTTTCTCAGGGCTCCCATCCCCTCCACAATAAAGCTGTAAAGAAGCTCCCCCTCGTGCCAACTCTCCCTGGGAAGAGCCACCCCGAGGATCCACCACGGCGCTGGGCAGAGGTGGTGCCACCCCCCCCTGATGATGGCCTTGGCCCCCCGGCCACACCATC